AAAAGGAAATATTCAATAATTACCCATTCAGTGAGCACCATCCATCCAGGGCACAGAGTGAAACACGGTCATGTGGAGAAAATAGTATATAATCATATAATTCAAGACTGTATCAAAATGCATATGCTCAATGGAGCTGAAGGGAGGTTGCACAGGCAATCTTATTTCAGACATATCCTAACTTTTGAATGCCTGACTTTGCAACCTTAGTGTTCTTCCAACATTGTTTTTTAATGTAATTATAAATAAGGCTAAGATTTTGTCATGGATATTTTTAGTAAAAGTCAGACAGGTCATGAGCAAAACAGAAGCCATGACCTGTCCCTAACTTTTACTAAAAATATCCCTGACAAAATGGGGATCTGCAGATCATAAGAACAGTCATACTGGGTCAGACCAAAGGTCCATCTAGCCAGAGGTGAAAGTAAGCCCGTCTGGTCCGGCATGGCGTACCGGCAAAAGCCAGTACACCGTGTCGGACTGCACCGGCTTCCGCGGCCGGGATTAAAAGGGGTCTGGGCTCCCCGCAGCGGCAGGGAGCTCCGAGCCCTTTAAATCCCACCTGCAGCTCCGGCGGCAGGGCTGGGGCCGGGATTTAAAGGGCTCAGGGCTCCCCACAGCCGCTGGAGCCCCGAGCCCTTTAAATCCCAGCTGGAGCTGCGGTGGGGATTTTAAGGCGCCCGGAGCTCTGCGGCGTCCGGAGCCCCAGGCCCTTTAATTTGCCCATGAGCCCCAGGGGCTCCCCCCCAGCCACCTCTGCAGCTGGGAGCCCCGGGTTGATTTAAAGGCCCTGGGGCTCCCAGCCACAGTCGGTGCCACAGGGCCTTTAAATCTTGAGAGCCCCGGCCTCTTCTGGTTGAGGCCACATCTCTTCCGGTTGAGGCCACGCCCCCTCAGGACTCTGGCAGTACCGGTAAGTCCTGTAAGTTACTTTCACCCCTGCATCTAGCCCAGTATCCTGTCTTCTGACAGTGGCCAATGTCAGGTGTCCCAGAGGGAATGAACAGAACAGGTAATCATCAAGTGATCCATCCCTTGTTGCTCATTCCCAGCTTCTGGCAAACAGAGGCTAGGGACACCATCCCTGCCCATCCTGGCTAATAGCCACTGATGGACCTATACTCCATGAATTTATCTAGTTCTTTTCTGAACCCTGTTATAGGATTCCCACACTACTTCAAGCTGGGCAGCTGCTGGAAGTAGGAGCTGCCTGTAGCTGCTGGGGGCTGCGGGGTACCCCTGCCGCCTGCAGCGGGGGTTGGGAACTCAGGGGTTCCCTGCCACCTGCACGGCCCAGGAGCTTAGGTTCCTCCGCAGCAGCCCGGAGCTGCCTGCCACCGCTGGCAGCCCGCAGCGGCTGGGATCTCGGGGGTTCCTTGCCACCCCTGGTAGCAGGGAGATCTAGGGTTCTCCAGCAGCGCCACCCCTGGTGGCAGGAAGCTAGGGGTTCCCCACTGCCACCCACCAGGAGCTGGGGGGTCCCTCTCTGTCCCAGGCAGCAGGGAGCTCAAGGGGTTCCCCTGTGCTGCCCAGCAGAAGAGCCCTGAGCTCCCAGTGGCAGGGAGCGGCGGGCTGCCAGAGACGGCAGAGGTACCCCACAGCTTCCTACCCCAGTGGGCGGCAGGGGACCCTGCAGCTCCCAACCACTGCAGGCTGAAGTCATAGAGCCCACTGGAAGTCACAGATTTTTTGACTTCCACAACCTCCATGACTAAATTGCAGCCTTAATTACAAACACATACTGCAGATTTTAAAAGTGTGAAGTATTATTCATTTATAATTAATACTTTGCACTTCTATAGCACCCTCCATCCAAAGATCTCAAAGCATGTTACAGATATTAGCGAAATAAGTCTCACAGCACAGCACCCTTGGGAGGCAGATAAGTATCATTCTCATTTTTCAGATAACTTCTCTGTGCCTCAGATTCCTAAGTGAATTGCCTGCGGTCTCACAGGAGAATTATAACAGAACTGGGATTAGAACTGTGATCTCTCTAGGTCCTGTGTGTTAGATACTGTCTTTCCCTGCTAGTCAAAGCATGTTTCAGGATAATTTGGTAACTTGCACAAGCATGGTCATGCCACAGTTAGATGTAAAGTAAAACCACTCAGTTTATAATGAAATGACGTCATTTCGACATGCTGCACCACATCTTAGACAGGAAAAATGCTGCAGTTACCATTGCTATTATTTTCAGCTCTTTCACTCCTCAAGCACCTCTGTGATGCAAATGAGTAAAATAAAATGAATTTTTCAAAGAGACCTTATTAAGGGAACAAGAGCAAACCACTGCATAGGAAAGATGGGAAGTACGGCAAGAGACCACTCCGGCTTAATCAGGAGATCTTCAGTGATTTGAAACTGAAAAGAGAGTCCTACAGAAAGTGGAAACTAGGTCAAATAACAAAGGCTGAATGTAAACAAAAAACACAAGTATGTAGGGACAGAATTAGAAAGACCAAGGCACAAAATGAGATTAAACTAGTTATAGACATAAAGGGTAACAAGAAAACGTTCTACAAATACATTAGAAGCAAGAGGGAGACCAAGGACAGGGTAGGCCTGTTACTCAACGAGGGGGGTGTGGGGTGGGGAAATAATAACAGAAAATGTGGAAATGGCAGAAGTGCTAACAGACTTTTTTGTTTCAGTTTTCACCAAAAAGGTTGGTGGTGATTGGACGTCTAACATAGTGAATGCCAATGAAAATGAGTTAGGCTCTGAGGCTAAAATAGAGAAAGAACAAGTTAAAAATTACATAGACAAGTTAGATGTCTTAATGTCACCAGGGCCTGATGAAATACATCCTAGAATACTCAAGGAGCTGATTGAGGAAATATCTGAGCCATTAGCGATTATCTTTGAAAACTCAGGGAAGACAGGAGAGATTCCAGAGGATGGGGAAAGGGCAAATATAGTGCCAGTCTATAAAAAGGGAAATAAGGAGAACCCGGGGAATTATAGACCAGTCAGTTTAACTTCAGTAACTAGAAAGATAATGGAGCAAATAATCAAGCAATCAATTTTCAAACACCTAGAAGATAAGAAGGTGATAAGTAACAGCATGGATTTGTCAAGAACAAATAATGTCAAACCAACCTAATAACTTTATTTGACAGAGTAACAAGCCTTGTGGATGCGGGGGGGAAAAGCGGTAGATGTGGTATATCTTGAGTTTAGTAAGGCTTTTGATACTGCCTCACATTGACTTTCTCATAAACAAACTAGGGAAATACAACCTAGATGGGGCTACTATAAGGTGGGTGCATAACTGGTTGGAAAACCATAGTTATCAGTGGTTCACAGTCAAGCTGGAAAGGTATATTGAATGGGATCCTGCAGGAATCAGTCCTGGGTCTGATTCTGCTCAATATTTTCATCGATATAGATAATGGCATAGAGCGTATACTTATAAAGTTTGCTGACAATACCAAGCTGGGAGGGGTTGCAGGAGCTTTGGTGGATAGGAATAAAATTCAAAATGATCTGGACAAACTGGAGAAATGGTCTGAAGTAAATAGGATGAAATTCAATAAGGACAAATGCAAAGTACTCCACTTAGGAAGGAACAATCAATTGCACACATACAAAATGACAGCCTAGGAAGGAGTACTACGGAAAGGGATCTGGGGGTTATAGTGGATCACAAGCTAAATACGAGTCAAGACTGTAACACTGTTGGAAAAAAAAGCAAACATTATTCTGGGATGCAGTAGCAGGAGTGTTGAAAGCAAGACACAAGAAGTAATTCTTCCACTCTTCTCTCCACTGATAAGGACTCAACTGGAGTATTGTGTCCATTTCTGGGTGCCACATTTCAGGGAAGATGTGGACAAATTAGAGAAAATCCAGAGGAGAGAAACACAAATGATTAAAGGTCTAGAAAACATGACCTATGAGGGGGGATTGAAAAAACTGGGTTTGTTTAGTCTGGAGAAGATTGAGGGGGGCCATGATAACAGTTTTCAAATACATGAAAGGTTTTTCACAAGGAGCAGGGAGAAAAATTATTCTTCTTAACCTCTGAGGATAGGACAAGAAGTGAGAGGCTTAAAATGCAGCAAGGGAGGTTTAGGCTGGAATATATTTCCTAAAACTAAAAACTTCCTAAATGTCAGGGTAGTTAAGCACTGGAATAAATTGCCTACGGCAGTTGTGAAATCTCCGTCATTGGAGGTTTTTAAGAGCAGGTTAGATGAACACCTGTCAGGGATGGTCTAGATAATTCTTAGTCCTGCCTTGAGTGGAGGGGACTGGACTAGAAGACCTCTTGAGGTCCCTTCCAATGCTACACTTCTATGATTCTATGAAAGATTTGTAAACTAGCAGTATGAAAGGTGGCTTCAAAAAGCATCATATAGTATTGTTAATTTGTATAACCTGAGTGGTATTTTCTACACTTCTGCTTTAAGAAATTCCAATTCTATTGTTTTCATTATAGTAAAACTAAGTGGAACAGCAGCAGAACATTGTGAAGCTGGGGGAGATTTTGATTTTGAGTAAAAGATAAAGAAGGATAATTCAGAATCAGGACCTCAAATTACTTTTGCTTGATAGATTTTAAAGTTGAGAACTACATAAGCCCTTCATACCTAAGATATGAATTTTTAAGGGATCTTTTCTGTAAGGTTGTCCTGTAAGTAAGCTTTATAAATAAAATGGTTATTAATTATAAAGCAGTGGTTTCCAATTGCTGCTAGACATCACCTGCACTGATACTTCAGGCTTGTGTGACTGATGTTCTCTGCTCTTCCCGTTGTGCACACTGTAATCCGTGATGGAGCTTGACTTGCTCCAAACCCCAGCTCTGCATGAATGAAAAGAGGTAAGCGCCAGTTTGTATAGCCAAGGTCTTACTCAACTAAATTGATTCATTTGCTTTGAAAGGGTTGGGCACCACTTCTTAAAGCAGCCGATTGTCCATAATATCCATGAAATGGGTATTATTCACTTTTCTTTTTGCTTATTAACAATTTTGTGAAACTGTTTTCTTTCAGTTCTTGGTGAAGTGGAATATCTCCTCTTGGAGCGACCAGGTCATGTAGCCTTAAGTAACGACACGGTGTCTGTTGATTTTCAGTACTTTGTCAGTGGTAATGTGACAGCAAAGAATGTATCCATCCTACTGCTGGATGCCAGCACCAACCAGACCATTGCAAAAAAACAGCTTCCATCAAGCCAGTCACGGGGGATAGTAGGGTTTGAATGTTTCTCTTTCAAGACTGCTGGGGACTATTGGTTCAGAATGATCTCTGAGATTGATAATGGCACTGAATTTCACTGGAGGGGTGGGAGCACCCTCCTAAGTGTGGAATGGCCTGTATTTCACATTGACTTGAACAGGACCTCTGAGGTGCTCAGGAGTTCCCTTCAGGTTGGACTTTTCACTAATAAACAATTGTGTGCTATGAATGAGACAGTGGTTTCATTGGACGTGATATTCACCAACAGCCTGTATGAACTAGGAAGATTAAGCTCTAATGAGGCATTGGGAATGCGAATGAGCAAAGGAATCTTTCTCTCTAGATCCCAGTGGGTGGAGTTTGACTGCCCACCTGTTGACCAAGAAGTGTATGTCACTGTGTTACTGAAATCATTAGAGACCAACTCAGTCATCGCCTCAACAGGGCCCATAGACCTTATCCACAAATTTGGATACAAACTAGTAGTGGCGCCAGAAGTGATGTGCAAGTCGTCCATTCTGGTGTTTATTGTCTCCCCTCCATGCATTGCCATCAATGGGAAGGTTGCTGTGTACAAGGAAGCTCTCAAACGTCCTGGTGAAAGAACGACATGGCTAGATGAAAACTTCCTACGCCCAGGGAGCAACAGAACAGAATTTAACTGCACTTTATTTGACGTGGGGAAAAATAAATATTGCTTTGAATTTTTTGACATTTCAAGCCAAAGCCAATCACCCCCAAGAGTTAAGGAATGTATGGTGATCCGAAGGAATATAGGTTTGTATTGACATTTTCTGTCTTTAATTAGAAACTCTGTAGGAAAATGACCATCCTTCTATATTGTCAATAAGGATGATAACGTGGATTGATGAAGTTGTAGTTTTTGAGTCTCATAGCACCAGACAAAATAAGTCATGATTAACTGCCGATGGAATAAAGTTTAGTTTGTGTGTGAACAGATACACCAGGATGGTTGATAAAGGTGGTACTGCAGTGGTTTAATGTCACCACTACATTAGTGGTACTCTAACCACAAGTCCAAACCTGCCATGACTAGTGGATTATCTGGATATCTAGTCCCAATAGGAACTGAAATCTGGTAATCACAAAGAATTACACGAGAAACTGCTATCCCGGCTAGGGGCCAATTTCTCGCCCATTTGAAATTACTGGGAGTTTTGTTTATGTGATCAGGATTTGGCCATAATGGAAAAATTCTCTCCTGTGTGCATAGCTCATATGTTTCTTTGGCAGTCTTTCAGCTGGGAATGGCAGATGGGAATCCCAGGTTTGGTAGTGGTCACAGTAGCGGTCACAGTAGCAGAGATTATCTGCTCTGTCTATCATGGAGGGAGAGAGAGGAGAGATGAGTGTCAAAATCACTACTGATTCATGGAGGGCAGTTGTAACTAGAGACTGGCTAAGGAGCTGGTGTTTAGATGGGGATTGGGTTTTGAGTGGGATTTGTGTTCAAGGATAACCCAGGGATAGACGTCACTCCATTCTCATGAGCTATTCTGCAGTTTCTGATGACCCTAATCCACAATGTGAAAATGAGCTCTTTCTAGTTTTGGACCTGACCTGGAACCAAATTCATAGGTCAGATTCAAATCCAGGGGTATGACACCAACCATCACTCCCCACAAAATTCAAAGTGTTTGGATTAGAGTTTCCGATTCTGGCCCAACCCTAATTGTAACAGTCTCTTGAAAGAATGTTTCCTCTGTCTTCTCTTGTGCATGGAAGTGACAGAACTGGAATTTTAGAGCTCCTCATAGATTATAAGTCTCTAAAATTAACACAAGCTTTATATTTTCAGTCCTTCGTAAAATGTTTGTCACATAAGGAAATGCTATAATGTCTGTGGCTTAATTATACTTGTGATGCTATGCTGTTTTACTTCATTCTGTTTTGTAGGTTTTAAAACAACTAACTTTTCAGTTACCAATGTATAGCCTGAAAATTACTTCTAGTCTCACTGCATGGCAAACTCATCTCGTCAACTTCACTTTCCCTCACTACTCTCTTCACATTCTTTCTGACACACACACACAAAAACATTTGCAAATTCAGAAATTCATACATTAATCAAGGCAATTCTTCTATAGCTGGAAGAAGGAGAAAGATTATTGATGTTTCTTTCCCCTACCTAAGTGCTTAGATGCTACAGTGCTGTGGTCCGTAAAGTATCTAGTCAGACAGATACTTACAATATGACACAGATACATTCCAGTGCCCATTATTTCTGTTTTATTTTGTGGGATTCACTTTAAGTTATGACTCCCTGCAATTTGCTTTGTATCCTTTGCTTTCACTATTTACGAGCTCCAGCAGAAAGAATCAGGCTACAAATGTGAAGAAAGGATTTATGTGACTGACAAGTTACTTGTACAGAGCAGATGAAAGCAACCCTACACAGTGTAACTGTAAATAAAATGTCAACTTCAAATTAATTAGACTGCAGCACATCTGACTTTGTGGCAGGGTCTGCAGGACTTCAAAGGCCCATGGCAGCATTCTAGATGCACAAGGTATTCTGCAAAGGGTGCAGCTGTCTGAAGACAGCACAAAGATGGAAATCTTCGCTGCCTGTGCATGAGCTGGAATGGCATTCCAAGTCAGAACTCTGTCATGAAGCCCCTCTCCTGAATGATCTGGCTGTGCTTCAGCCCGGCTTGGGATTGTGTTGTGTCCAGGGCCGGCTCCAGGGTTTTGGCCGCCCCAAGCAGCCAAAAAAAAAAAAGCCACGATCGCAATCTCCGGTGGCAATTCGGCGGGAGGTCCTTTGCTCCCAGCGGGAGTGAGGGACCGTCCGCCGAATTGCTGCCAAATACCTGGACGTGCCGCCCCTCTCCAGAGTGGCCGCCCCAAGCACCTGCTTGCCAGGCTGGTGCCTGGAGCCGGCCCTGGTTGTGTCTAAAGACCTAGATCCCATGGCAGACTGCATTTGTGAAATAAAGACAGATGTGTTATTCCATTTCTTCTTCTACATCTTACAAAAGAAAAATATTAACCTATTAATAGGGATAGCTCAGTGGTTTGAGCATTGGCCTGCTAAACCCAGGGTTGTGAGTTCAATCCTTGAGGGGGCCACTTAGGGATCTGGGACAAAATCAGTACTTGGTCCTGCTAGTGAAGGCAGGGGGCTGGACTCGACGACGTTTCAAGGTCCCTTCCAGTTCTAGGAGATAGAATATCTCCATTAATTTTTTTATCCTTTTGTAATTCTGGCCTAATGGGCAGTTTGAGCACAGAGTTGGCTTTGAGATCCTGGGCCCCATACCAAAGAGATTAGGTCACCTTGTGCTGCATTGTGGGTGGAAGGGCACAGGATGCATTTCTTATGCTGTGGCACCCAAGAGCATTAGTGATGCCTGTGAAGAGGGAGTGCCTCACACGTCCTCTGAGTAGTAAATACAGGTCTCTATGTAACCCTGAACACACCAAAATACCATTCCAGTATTCCCATCTCAGACCCATCCATTTTTAAACAATGTCAGCTTTTGTTGTTGTTGTTGTTTTTAAAGTCTATCCCTTCTAAGGTTGTGAAATAAACCTTTTAAATGTGAACCAATGCTGTGCAGTTTTTCTAAGCCTGCAGATAGAGGGCCAGTGAGACACTAGCTCAGATCGGTGTGGCCACTCTGACCATTCATCTCAATGGGGTGCTAATGCTGAAGCTTAATGATAGCAGCTTTAATGTAAAAGTTAACTGCTTCTCTGCTGATTTTAGTAAAATCATCCAGCTAATATATGTATCTAGTGTGGCTCTATAACATAGAAGTGTGAGATACAAAATTCCTGTTAGGCCATTGTATGCATCACCTGGGTCGCCGCAAGTTTGTTCTCTTCACCATGTTCTCCTGTATTTTGTCCAGTATTCTTTTAAATGTCCCAAGCAACAAGGCTTGCACCAATTTGCTAGAGAGAATATTCCATGTTCTAGTCCTGATCCCATTTAAAGTCTCTTGGCTTTACTCTAATAAAAATAATCAATAATAGTATCAATAGCACTCATAATTGGGAAGGTTTTCTTGACTTTTCTGGTCTTAATTTCACCCCATTACACTTAGTTATACCTGAGGATGAAATTCAGCCTGCATGCAATTCCCTTTGACCCCAATGAGAGTTGTACTTTCTTACATCAGGGCTGAATTTTGATCCCTAGTGTTCTTAGTGAGCAATAAAAAGGGGTAAGGAGAAGGTGGTTAGTAGCACCTTGAGAGTACAGCTGCTACCAAAGAAGGGTGAAAGGGAACAGGGGGAGAGCCACCATAAGAAGGGGCAGTAGTTACCAAGGGAAGGGAGCAGAAGAGCAGTATCTAGGGAAAGGATGAGACAGATAAAGTTCCATCCAAATTTGTTCCACCAGTTCACTGTGTAAATAAGGTTATATTACTCAGACCCCCTTATTCTGTGAGCGTTCTAATCCCTAGGAAGATCTGAGAACCAACTAGTTTTATACCTGAATCCACATCTGACACATTTATCGGATGTGGTTTTAATTGGGATAAAAATAGAATTTGCAGATGGATTCAAAGTAACCAGATATGATAGCATTAGAAAAGTGATCATCTTATGTGCAAGACTGCTCCCTTATTACAAAACTATGCCTGCTTTACAAGTCTCTTAGGGCCCAATCCTACTCCCATTTACATCAATAAGAGAAGGAGCAGGTCCTTAATCTCCATATTCCAGTTAAGTTTTTTATACCTCTGATGCGATGTACTAATATGGACAGCCCTTAACTTCTTGCAATAACTTTGCAAGAGCACTGGATGTGGAATTTTTAGAGGGGTCCTTCTGGGGGAAAAAATTAATCTGAGTTGACTGTTTTGTTGGATAACATGCTATATTAAGGTGTCCCATTGCATAGTGAGAATGAAACACACACAATTGGAGAGAGATGCTACACAAATCAACAATTAACACAGTCACTCACTTGTGTTTGTTTTTCATGAGTCCCGAATTGCCAATGTTTCAAATTGTCTAACTCATCAGTTAAATACCTGCATGTTGATAGGCAGGGCCGGCTCCAGGCACCAGCTTACCAAGCAGGTGCTTGGGGCGGCCACTTCGGAGAGGGGCGGCACGTCCAGCTGTTCGGCGGCAATTCGGCGGACGGTCCCTCACTCCTGCTCGGAGCGAAGGCCCTCCCGCTGAATTGCCCCCGCAGATCGCGATCGCGGCTTTTTTTTTGTTTTGTTATGTTTTGTTTGGCTGCTTGGGGCGGCCAAAACCCTGGACCGGGCCCTGTTGATAGGCTCCCCAATTTTACATTAAAAATTCACATTTAACAGTTAGTTTACAGTCTGTGCCTTCTACATTGTAGTAAAGATTTTCACCTGGCTCTTTAGATCCATTTGTCTTTAATGATTTTGTGTCCATGGAGAAAAATGAGCTGTGCTTTTTTATTTTTTTTTATTTTTTTTAATTCTAGTAGATTGCAGAGAAAGATTCAGAAGCTTAAACTGTTATCTTTCACAGAAGCTGGGTAATTTCCTCCCATGAGAGACTTTTTGATTATTGTGAGCTCCAAACCTGCAAGGTGTTTAGGCCCAGAGCCACAAAGGTACTTAGGAGCCTGAACCCCAGACTTTGGTGCCTAAGCCCTGGTTTTAGGCTTCATTGTGATTCACGAAAATCCCACTAGGCTGCTACCTAACCTGTAGGTGTCTAACTCACTTGATTCCTAAATTTCTGCTGTAAAAGTTCCCTACCACCTAAGTTTCTTCCTCTGGTCATGTGTACAGCTGCCCCACTCTAGGTGTGTGTACAGATATCTCATGTCTAAGCCCCAGAGCGATTCATAAATTGGGGGAAAGATAGGTGTTCCTCCAACTCTCTCACTCATAGGGCCTAATCTGGTAGACAGGTCCCATTCAAAATCTGGCTGGAGAAGATGGTGATGCCAGTGCCTCCCCACCTTGTAACTTTTAGCCCACTGGTTAGAGCACTCAGCCTGGCTAGGGGAGATACAAGTTCAATTCCTCCCTCTGCCTATGGGGGAGAAATGATTTGCACAGAGGTCTCCCACGAGAGTGCTTTAACCATAGAGCTATGGGACAGTCCTATGGGGGGACTCCCTCAATCTTTCCTGATGAAGCTGTTCCACTTTGGATAAATGATTAATTAGTCATTGGGGGAGGGTGGCTGTTGGGGGTTCCCCCCTCCCAGGCGAGTGCCCTATCCACAAGACTCTAGACTCATTCTGTCTCTGGCCCAATGCCTGTTTAAGCATTTACATACAATGGAAGAGCTTCAATAGGAGAGACTGAGGGGACCTGACATCAGAATAGCCCCTAGCTCAGTGGTTAGAGTAGGTTCCCAAGAGATGGAGGAAGACCTCTGTTCAAAAGTGTTCTCCTCAGACAGAGGGAGAATTGAACCTGCGTCTTCCACATCCCAGGTGAGTGCGCTCACTATGGGGCTAAAGGCAGCAAGGTGGGTGGCACCAGTACCATCACCTCCTCAAGCATCTTGTGTGGCATGAGGCAGGCACCAAACTCATTCTGGCAAGCAGCAGCTTAGACACCAAACCCACCTGACTCCAGGAGAGGGGTTCCTGTTTGGGAACGCCAGCAGAAATAGGTGCCTGGAATTAGGCATCTAACTCCATGAGAGGGGAGGGGTTTAGGATACCCCCATCTTGTCAGCATTTCCCATTAGCTACCATAGGCAGCTCCTTGCCTCGCATGCTGGCTTTTGTGGATTGTATTCCAAGGTGTCTGTCTCTCCCAGTTCATTGTACAGGGAACCTGGGCACCTAACTCAGGTTTTTCAGATTACGTTATGGTTCCTGTGATTTTCTAGGTGCCTAAAAGTAGAGTGTTGTGAAGTGCAGTATTGCAATACCCCAATCCTTTTGTAGATTCAGACCCAAGTATCTTCTGTAAGGAGTTGTGTGCTCTCAGCTCCTACTGAAGTCATTGCAGAGATGAGGCGAATTGGTACCTCACAGGACAGAGCCTGAGATTAGAAAATATCTTTGATTTAAATTGTGTGTATTTTATTTAGTCTCTGAGCCTGATCATGTGATCTGCCCAGCACCCTCATCTCCTACTAAAGTGAACAACAATTGGGGAGCTCAGCACCTTGCAGTATCTGGTCTTATATCTGAATGAGAGTAACAGGGGTAAAACCAAGGTGTATCTAACATACATGTGTGACACACTTGTCACAGAGGCATATAAAAGAGAGTAAATTGATAACCTAAGGCTCCAATCCTGCAATCATTTATGCATGTAAGTAACTTCAAGCATGTAAGTAATCAGATGAGTTCAACAGGACTACTCACCTGTGTAAATTTACTGATGTTGGCATGTTTGCAAGTATTTGCAGGATTGGGGCCCAAAGCAGTTAAAATCCTCATATTTAAATACAGTTTCATTTTTTCCCTTTGGTCCTTTGCAAGTAATAACACAGCATGAACAATACCACACCTAATGTACCATAACCTCCATCTCTGTTATACAACCACATTCTTTAATTCTTTAGATTTGTGTAAATAGTTCATGAGTCAGGGGTTAAAGCAAAAGTCACGGGACACTATGAGGTTAAGAATGATGTAATTAAAAACAGATTTCATGACCTGTATAAGTAATAGCAACACCATAATTATTAAAGAGAGAGAATTAAAAAAAAACCAATTTACTTTTCTATCATTTATGTGGTTTTACTTTTTGCATTTTACCCCTCCTAGATAATGAAAATAGTCAGTTTAATGGTTTTGTTTCTGGTCCATTTCAAATCAGTTCCTATAAGCCAACTAATAATATTTAATGGGGACAATCCCAAGATATCTATCACACATTGTTCTGTCTCTCCAAAAAAATCGTACCAGGTCTAATGAATTTTATTGCAGTTTAAGGGTGTGGTTCTATTTTTCTTTCAAAATGTTATTTATAGCATTCAAAAGTTGGCAGGCATGGTCACTTTCAGCTTCCGGATTCTCAGTGCTGTAAAGTTTCAGTTATGAACACAGCAAGAGGCTGTTGAAATTCAACCAAAAAACTGCTTGTGTTGCATTTAAAATAACGAAAATGCATTATGCCTTGAACCCTGCCCCGTTAAAAAAAACTTAAATTTTCATCCTAATACTCCTCATTGAGAGGCCCCTCAAACAATAAAAGATTAGGACCTCTAAAACACTGTTAAACTAGTGGTTCAATAACATTATTTGTGTGCTATGAAGATAATAGGAGAGAAACTAACACTGCTTTTTCAATAGTCCCTTTGGGCCTCAGCCTCCTCTCCCAGCAGTATAAATCGGGGTAACCCCACTGAAATCAATAGTGATGCTAATGTAAAACCAGCGTACACAAGATAGGAATCGGGCCCTATACATGCCTAAACTGATAAGACATTAGAAAGACTTGTGGATTCATTTCTATTTGCTGTTGTACAAGGCATATCCTGCTGGCCTTAGTTAACAGACTAGGAGTGCAATCCTGCTGCCATTGGAGGCAATGGAATCATTGCCCCTGACTCCGATGGGAGCAGGCATAGGCCCCAGTAGCTGTTTGCTTTGCAGTGTTATAATTGCAGAGTTGGGGTTGATTAGTTTTTATATAAAGGAGGGATAGTTGAAAGCTTTGCTGTAAGATGAAATGAGTCTGGCTGCATTCCTCATTGCTCTGATTTCATGTATCCACAGAAACATGGAGCCTGTGGCAGCCCTGGAGTTCTTGCAGCGTGACCTGTGGGGATGGAGTCCGTGAGCGACACAGAGAATGTCTCACATCGCTGCCAGCAAAACCAGGCTGTGTTGGGACACCGAAAGAGACTTCGCTGTGCTCTCTAGAGGAATGTTCTAGTATGTGGTCCTGCTTTCTTTAAAGCTTTTCTCCTTGACATGTGTCTGCTTTCTCTGGAGAAAACAAAATGCATGTTATTATGATAGGTTTGAGAAACTAAAGCATTTAAACCAGTCTTTGTGACTTCTTATTCACTGGGGATGAAATCCTGGTGACATTCAGGTCAATGGAAAACTCCCACTGACTACATTGTGGCCAGGATCCCTGGAGTAAATTTCACCAACTGGCTGATGGAAACCCATGCAGTACTATCCGTCTGTGTGTTTGCTGGGGATAGAGAGATATAGGCAACATGGCTGGTCCAGTGACACTCATACCATGGAGGTGGAGTCCACGTTGGCATCACATCTGCCAGCAAGGAAGGGAGTACTGGGGATGGGCTGGAGGAGAGGTCACTGGTCACAATAGGGATGAATCTGGGCTGGCTCAGTCTGTCACAGTTGCTCACGCAAAGGAAGTCAGTAAAGAGTCACACAGACAGTCCGGCTTTATCGCTAGCTTCTGAACAGAGGAGAGAGATTTTTAATGTATTTCAAAATATATATGAAAAATAATGCCAATAATGAAAATGTATTTCAAATACGATAAAACCGGAAGTTTGTGTGGAACAGATTGAGAATATATTAACCATATGTATAGCCATATGGAGTCTGGTGCTGTTGGGTGCTGAGTACTTCCTGTCCATCAGCCCTTAGCATTTTTATCTGGGCCTGCAAACCCACATTATTGACTCCCACTCTCCCAAGTGTAACAGTCTTCTGCTACACTTCCCTTAGAACATAATACTGGGTCTGACCAAAGGTCTATCTAGCCCAGTATCCTGTCTTCCAACAGTGGCCAATGCCAGATGCCCCAGAGGGAATGAACAGAACAGATAATCATCAAGTGATCCATCCCCAGTTGCCCATTCCCAGCTTCTGCCAAACAGAGGCTAGGGACACAATCCCTGACCATCCTGGCTACTAGCCATTGATGGACCTATCCTCCATGAACTTATCTAGTTCTTTTTTGAACCCTGTTATAGTCTTGGCCTTCACAACATCCTCTGGCAAGGAGTTCCACAGGTTGACTATGCGTTGTGTGAAAAAATACTTCCTTTTGTTTGTTTTAAACCTGCTGCCTATTAATTTCATTTGGTGACCCCTAGTTCTTGTGTTATGAGAAGGAGTAAATAACACTTCCTTATTTACTTTCTCCACACCAGTCATGATTTTGTAGACCTCTATCATATCCCCTCCTCAGTCATCTCTTTTCCAAGCTGAAAAGTCCCAGTCTTATTAATCTCTCCTCATGTGGTAGTCATTTCATACCCCTAATAATTTTTGTTGCCCTTTTTTGAACTTTTTCCAATTCCAATATATCTTTTTTGAAATGGGGTGACCACATCTGCATGCAGTATTCAAGATGTGGGTGTACCATGGATTTATATAGAGGCAATATGATATTTTCTGTCTTATTATCTATCCCTTTCTGAATGATTCCCAACATTCTGTTTGCTTTTTTGACTGCCACTGTACATTGAGTGGATGTTTTCAGAGAACTATCCACAATGACTCCAAGATCTCTTTCTTGAGTGGTAACAGCTAATTTAGACCCCATCATTTTATATGTATAGTTGGGATTATGTTTTCCAATGTGCAGTACTTTGCATTTATCAACACTGAAACATTGTTCCTGCTACACTCTTCCCCTCTGTGCATAAATCAATGTGTACCCATTTTGCATACCCACAGAATGTCTCAGCTGTGCAAGTTACACTGGCTTACTGCCTCCCTGCCAAGTTACCCTTACACCTGTTTTCTGATCTTCCTGCACCAAAGTCAGATTTATGCCACTACAGAATTATGCATGAATTATTTAATCTTGTATAAAATTTAAAAGATGTTTTCACATTGTGCTCCAGCTCTGGGTACTGCTGACCTTGTGCTGTAAATAATAGCATCAGATCATCCTCTGCTGTGTCTCTGGTCCATCTAGGAGAGTCTGTTTCAGCATTATTATATTTGTATTCTTTAGTCCAGTAGATGGAGCAAGTGGCCGAGTAACAGAAGCCAGCACAGAGGGTTGGAACCCTGGTGGAAGGGCTGAAGAGGAGAGGTAGAAATAAATAAAAAAGATCAACAAGCAGGAGTGAGAAAAGAAAATAAGGAGAGAAGGAAAAATTAATAACTAAAACATTCCGATCCAGATTCTTTTCTCTTTTCCACTGGTATAAATCAAGAGTAACTCCATGGGTTTCAATCACAGCCACAGCCACACTTGGCCAAATTCTGGTCTTGTTTCTCTTCTGATGGCATCATCTTTCCCCACACCTCCCACTGTGTGACTCTAAGAATTTTGTAGTGCTGCTTGGACAGTGAGCCTCTAGTGACCAACTGAGTGCAGCTTTTTTGACATTACTCTGAAAATGAATGTACATGTTATCTATTAAATGAACTACCAGACTTCCTGAATGAGTGACATGCCACGCTGCAGTTGCATTCCGTATGGATCTGTTGAGCCAAAAATATGTACAGGTCTGTCTCATCTTACGCTGGGGTTACGTTCCGCGGTCAACGCGTAAAGTGAAAACCGCGTATAGTCAAAATTACATTGAGTGTAATGGCGGGTGGAATCGCCCGCACTACAGGAACAGTATTTAAATTGTTATTTTTCTCTTTTTTGTTGTTTTTTGTTTTGTTTTTGCCGACCGCGTAAAGCTGAATTCGCACATGTTAAATGCGCGTAAGATGCGACAGACCTGTATAAATAACAAGCTGATTATCAAGGTGGCATTTTACAAAGGGCGTGGGAAGGAAAAAGTCTGTTTCTGAATTCTGGAGTATACATGTGGTTTGGTGACTGCAGCTATGAATTCTGCATCTACACTGCAGTTAGTTGAGCAGTCATTGTGGAACACTGAAAAGCATTCTGGGAATGTATATGGTGGACACTCCATAACGTACATGTAAATGTGTAGAGTGGATACTGAATGGCCTGAGGGACTGGTAAAAGGATGCCTTAGCCTTTCACTTTTAGATCACTGATTTCTATCCAGGTCTGGGCAGTAGCAATGGAACATAACTACCATCAGAAAACTGTTTAGTGGCCTATAAGAAATTAGTGTTTGGACACCATGGTAACAGGCACTAAATAAAAAGCTAAGATAGATAGAAATTAGAAAAGGAGTGTTGTCTAATGGCTAGAAAAGTAGATTTGGAGCCAGGATTTCGGGGTTCTATGACTATGATTGATTTGCTGGTGACCTTGGGCAAAATCACTCAATCTCTCTGCGTCTTGGTTTATTCTTTGGTAACATGGGTATGATACTTGTCCCGGTGTGCTGTGAGGCTTAATTAATGTTTGTAAAATGCTTTGAGACCCTCATAACATGCACTATAGTTGTGCAAAGTATTGTTACCAGGATTTCTCTTGAAAGTCCCTCTCCAGTTCATAACAGACAAATATCAATAACAAAAACCCCAAGACCTCTTCTTAGCCCAGAACTGAATGGGCATGGAGAATACTGTGTTGTCTGACTCCCAGAGGTGTAACACTGGGTGAGAGTTGAAGAAACATTCTCAGGGCAACGTGGGGGAACTTGTGCTGCCACTGCTTATGCTGTCCATCTTCTCTCCAGACCTCAGGGCTGTCAAGCCACTTACCTTTCACATCGGGGATCTGCCTGGCACAAGGAGAACAAATACCTTTCACAAACCCTAAAATCAGTTGAAAAATAATTTTAATTGCTGGGTTATCCTAACCACTAGGCTGACCTAATAGATCAATTCCAATAACAAATTGTTAACTCCTGGATAGCACTTTTCATCTGTAGATTTCCAAGTGCTGTTCCAAAAAGAGCAAGTATCTTTATCCCTATTTTACAGATGGGGAAACTGAGGCACTGGCAGTGACGTGGCTTGCCCAAGGTCAGCTAGCAGACCAATGGCAGAGCCTGACACCCCCTCACCTGATCACACTGCCTCTATGTGCTTGCTCTTTTCATAGAAACCGTACCAACTCTTGCAAAAAGCTTCCCACCGGATTTGCGAAACTCAAACATAAGAAAAGCCATTAGGCTCAGGTGTATAAAATATTCTTCTGGCATCATGAAAAGAGGTGAGACTAGCAGAAGTAGGTAGCAAATGAAGTTTAAAAGGTAGACAGGTCTGCAGGGCCCTCAATATAAAGTAGGTGGATTTGCTGCTGCAAATCAAGGTTTATCCTCTTTTATCTGAAGAAGACAGATGTGTGCTAAGGACATGCTGGCAAGTAGACAATTTAATGTATTTTATTCATTGATTTTATTTTTTTTAATTGTAGAATATCTTACTAAAACTCCAAATGTCCAATGAAAATGCAACTTTGATAACAGAATGTGTTCACTCTTTGTTACAGTTATAAAGCCTACCACCCCTCCTTCTGTACAGCACCAAGAGGACCAGAAAGCTAATAATATAGTCACCATCACTGGCATCTCCTTGTGCTTGTTCATAATCCTAGCCACTGTTCTCATCACCCTGTGGAGGAAGCTCTGCAGAGCTCAGAAGTGCAGCACCTCTGTGCGCTGTAACTCTGTCCATTCGCCCAACTGCCACAAGAGCTCCGACGAAGAGAACATCTGTCAAGCTGGCACGCAGCGGGAGAGCTTTTCCGCGGGCAGCGAAGCGCCTCGAGTGCAGGCCGGAGAGCCTGTTAACATACCTTTGACCTGTAGGAGGAGCCTTCAATTTGCTCAAGAAGAGGACACCTCTGTCAGTGACAGTTTTCAGTCAAATGCTCAAAAAATAATCCCTCCAATTTTCAGCTATCGCCTTGCACAGCAGCAGCTGAAAGAGATGAAGAAGAAAGGCCTGACTGAAACCACAAAGGTGTATCACGTATCTCAGACGCCTCTGACTGACACCGTTATTGATGCCACGGCTGTGCTTCCCCTGGGCACAGAAAACCAAGAGGAGGCTGCTGCACACAAATTCAGGATCAAATCTCCATTTCTGGATCAGCCAGTCAGTCATCTCAAATTCCCTAGGGAAAAATCTAATTCTAGGGTGGACTCTGTACTGTCACAGGCCAATCCTGTAACAAGCCCTAGTCAGACCCTCATTAGACGAGCTCACCTGAAATACCAAAATAACAAAGGGGAGCCATTAGAGAAAGGCTGTCACAGAAACCCACAGTTCAGAAGAACAGCCAGTTTCCATGAAACTAAAAAGGTCAGGCCCTATAGGGAACGGAGCATGTCCACTCTTACCTCACGGCAGATTCCTCTTTATAGTGCCAGGACCAGAACGTGGGGTCAGGCACTGGAAGACAAGTCCCGGCCAACATGTAAAGATGCTGATCCAAGTTCTGAAAAGTTTGACCAGTCTCATTGCACTCTGTTAGCTGGTGAGCCACTGAGCTATGGCACAAAATACCGCCACAAAGGGGGCCCTCCAGTGGGGAGGCCGGATCTGATCAGTGACCGTCAGCCTGCAGGCCAAGTAGCAGGAGCTGACAAACCAGAGCCAAACAGAAACAGGAGGGGCTCTTCACCAAACCATCGAGGGGCTTTGAGGAAAGAACCCATCTCAACTCTGAAAGATAATTACCAGCGAGGCAGTGCTCTAAGCCCTGTCCAGTACAGAAAGGACAAATGCCAGAGCTTCCCCACAGACCCTGAATTTGCCTTTTATGATAATAATTCTTTTGGCTTAACAGAATCGGAGCAATGGATGATTGACCTGCCTGGATATTTTGGTTCAAATGAAGAAGATGAAACAAGTACTTTAAGTATTGAGAAACTGGTGATCTGAATGACTGATTGCAGTACTGTAGGGCGGGGGTGCGAGAGAAGAGCTGCAGAATCTGTTGGTTTATAATAAAAGCAATAATGGAAACCAGGTTCCAGCTGTTTGGGGCAGGAGGGAAATCCTACGGCCTGATTTGTGAGCATGCATTTCTTTTTAATTAATAGAAAGGGCTTTGATGTCATTGTTTTGTCTAGTACACACACATAACCTGGGAAAGCAAATGGAAATGATAGTGTGACACAGAGAAAATCGAACAGATTTTATTCTATAGAGCACAGAAAAGAGCAGTGCTCAATGAATAATTTATACTGAATCATGAATCCAGTCAATTTAGACTCTTTTTCTGCTTGCGGACCATCCACTAGCAGAGCACGACATCCTGTAACATCTGTTCAACACTATTTAATGAATTGTTTCAGTTTTTTTTAACCTAGGTTGTGAACAGTTTTCAGCGTATCTTTAAAATTCACTATTGGTCATGGGGTTCTGCACATCCGTTGGGTGCCCCCGCTTGCCCAGTGTGGGGCTGATACACTCCGCCACACAGTCATCAGGACTCTCAGCTGGGCCAGACAAACACAATCAGGATCTCTGGCCCACAGTGAGGGGCTGAACAGGCGAACCGTCTATAGCTCCTGAGACTCCTGGCTGGGGCAAACAATCACAAACAGGCCTTCAGCCCCTTGGGTGGGGCAGAGTAACCAGTCTATAGCTGGGGTCTCCGGCGGTAATAGCCACCTGCCAGTGCCGAGCCCACCCTGCTCCACCAGGTTCTGATCCAGGGCCCTGTGGAGCCTGTAGTCTCCCTCTTCAGGATTCAAGTATCAGCTCCCAATATATTCCCTCGGTCACTTCCTACCTCTAAGTCCACTTTGGGCTTGTCCTCCCGGGCAGAGGCTTGGCATCTCCGTCGGCCTTCATAGATGGGGATCCCTCATCATATAGTCAGGGAGACTCGCTTCTGTAATCTGGAAGGCTGGTGGTACCTCAGCAGGAGCTGGCAACGCATGTCTGTCTTCCTTCTCCGCCAGCCAGGACTGGAGTGAGCTGTTCCCTTTTATCTGCTCCCTCCAACTGGAGCATGTGCAGCAGAGGTGACAGGGCCTGGCCTCTGGGCCAAAAGTGACTGGTTAACCCCTGCTTGCCCAGTGCGGCATTGACACACCCCATCACATTATTGAACTGTGTTGATTGTTTGTAACTGGTCAGATAAGTCATGTGGTGTTTTTCCTGTTCCCTGATTAGATGAGGAGAGCATGAGCAATTCTGGAGTGAATACTTGTTTACAATTTGGTTTTTGTGATTCATCACATACAAGACCTCGCCATTTGTTTTCTGTGTTGGTGCCAGGAAAGCTTGAGATTGCACAAACGTGTGGAAAGGAACAGAAAAGCATTGTAGAAAATAAACAGACTAGGTCTGATAGTGTGGTCAAGGAAAATTCATTAACAAATTTGAGTACTTGCTAAAACTGTTAGTGCAGTATTCTTACCCACCTGTAGAAGCCAGTGAAAGACCTCTTACCTTCTCTCCTTCATTGTAATGCTCTTTCCCTGTATTAAATGTTGTATTTTTATTTTTGCTTATACAAGTTGACAGATACTACAGCAAGATACAAATAAATTATGAACAAAACCAGTGGAACAAAATGCCTATTTAATTAAGATATGCTTTGCAAACAAAAGGAAAAAGGAAATTAACTCGTCCATGTCTGTTGATTCCTGGAGAACCTTCTCCATAGGCACGTTTATTTCACCAGAGGATATTTAACAAATGGGATTGGACACTGCTGCACTTGCTCAACGCTTTTAGCAAAGTCACTGCACACAAAGGAGATGCAAAGAGTGGCAGGCAGGGCAGTTTGACTCAGTTCTTTACTCCAGCCATTTATTGGAATAACAGATTCTTCAGAGGTATAGAGAAAACAGGTGGAAGGAATACATTAATGGAGGAAACAAAGAAAATAAAAGAAGCCTCAGATGGAGATTGAAAAGGGAGGATTTGGGGTAGGGAAGAGACACCTGACAGTTTTAAACTACCCCGTCCTCATAGTGCCAGGTTTCCCTTTCAGCAGCTCGTCCCCTGGTAACCTGTAATCCACATTCCAGTGAAAAGCTAAATTTGGAAATGCTCAATATTTCAAATATAGGCTCAGATCCTGCAATTTACAATGCGCAGGCAGATTCCTACACCTTCATAGAGCCCCACTGGTGTTAGTAATGGGAGATTTGATCATTAGAAACATAGGTAGCTGGTTTTGTGCTGACCGGGAGAACCATATGGTGACTTGCCTGCCTGGTGCGAAGGTTGTGGATCTCTCGAGGCATCGAGATAGACTTATGTGTAGTGCTGGGGAGGAGCCGGTGGTTGTGGTACATGTAGGTACCAATGACATAGGGAAGGGTAGGAGAGACGTCCTGGAGGCCAAATTTAGGCTGCTAGGGAAGAGGCTGAAATCCAGGACATCTATGGTGGCATTCTCAGAAATGCTCCCAGTTCCACGCGCAGGGCCAGGTAGGCAGGCAGAGCTTCAGAGTCTCAATGCGTGGATGAGACGATGGTGTAGAGAGGAGCGGTTTAGATTTATTAGGAACTGGGGAAACTTTTGGGATGGGGGAACCTATACAGGAGGGATGGGCTCCACCTAAACCAAAGTGGACCCAGACTGCTGGCACTTAACATTAAAAAGGTTGCAGAGCAGTTTTTAAACTAAGAGATGGGGGAAAGCCGACTGCTGCAGAGGAGCACGTGGATCGGACAGAGACTTCTCTAGAGGAGAGTCTATTGATAGGGATTCTCTAGGTTCTAGTCAGGAGGAGAGAATGGAAGAGGATAAAGTAGGGGCCAGATCAGACAAGAAACATTCACATAAAAAAGAATCCAACACATCAGAAAAGGGCAGACAAATAAACAGTGACAAGTTTTTAAAGTGCTTGTACACAAATGCTAGAAGTCTAAATAATAAGATGGGTGAACTAGAGTGTCTCGTGTTAAAGGAGGAAATTGATATAATAGGTATCTCAGAAACCTGGTGGACTGAGGACAATCAATGGGACACAATCATTCCGGGGTACAAAATATATCGGAAGGATAGAACAGGTCGTGCGGGGTGGGGAGTGGCACTATATGTGAAAGGAAATGTAGAATCAAATGAAGTAAAAATCTTACGTGAATCCACATGTTCCATAGAATCTCTAGGGATAGAAATTTCATGCTCTAATAAGAATATAACATTAGGGATCTATTATCGACCACCTGTCCAGGACAGTGATAGTGACGATGAAATGCTAAGAGAGATTAGAGAGGCTATGAAAATAAAGAACTCAATAATAATGGGGGATTTCAATTGTCCCCATATTGACTGGGAACATGTCACCTCAGGACGAAATGCAGAGACAAAATTTCTCTATACTTTACATGACTGCTTCTTGGAGCAGCTGGTACAGGAACCCACCAGGGGAGAGACAATTCTCGATTTAGTCCTGAGTGGAGTGCAGGATCTGGCTCAAGAGGTAACTATAACAGGACTGCTTGGAAATAGTGACCATAATATAATAACTTTTAACATTCCTGTGGTGGGCAGAACACCTCAACAGCCCAACACTGTGACATTTAACTTCAGAAAGGAGAACTATGCAAAAATGAGGTTAGTTAAACAGAAATTAAAAGGTACAGTGACTGGAGTGAAATCCCTGCAAGCTGCATGGACACTTTTCAAAGACACCATAATAGAGGCCCAACTTAAATGTATACCCCAAATTTAAAAAACACAGTAAAGGAACTAAAAAAAGAGCCACCGTGGCTTAACAACCATGTAAAAGAAGCAGTGGAAGATAAAAAGGCATCTTTTAAAAAGTGGAAGTCAAAGCCTAGTGAGGTAAATAGAAAGGAGCATAAACACTGCCAAATTAAGTGTAAAAATGTAATGAGAAAAGCCAAAAAGGAGTTTGAAGAACGGCTAGCCAAAAACTCAAAAGGTAATAAAGTACATCAGAAGCAGGAAGCCTGCTAAACAACCAGTGGGGCCCCTGGACGATCAAGATACAAAAGGAGCACTTAAAGACAATAAAGTCATTGTGGAGAAACTAAGGCCTGGTCTACACTATGACTTTAATTCGGATTTAGCAGTGTTAAATCAAATTAACCCTGCACCCATCCACACAACGAAGCCATTTATTTCAAAATAAAGGGCTCTTAAAATCGATTTCTGTACTCCATCCCGACAAGCGGAGTAGCGTCAAAATCGATTTTGTCATTTCGAATTAGGGTTAGTGTGGCCGCAATTTGATGGTATTGGCCTCCGGGAGCTATCCCACAGTGCACCATTGTGACCGCTCTTGGATGCACTTGCCAGGTAGACAGGAAAAGCCCCGCGAACATTTGAATTTCATTTCCTGTTTGCCCAGCGTGGAGAGCACAGGTGACCACAGATAGCTCATCAGCTCATCATGCAGACCGATAATTGAAAAAGAGCACCAGCATGGACCGTACGGGAGGTACTGGATCTGATCGCTATATGGGGAGAGGATTCAGTGCTAGCAGAACTTCGTTCAAAAAGACGAAATGCCAAAACTTTTGAAAAATGCCAAAACTTTTGAAAAAATCTCCAAGGGCATGATGGAGAGAGGCCACAATAAGGACTCAAAATTAAGCTTGCCTTACAGGCCCTGAAAATGTTACTAGAACCAGTGATAAAAGTGTGAGCAAAATGTCTTGGAGCATCATCTCTCACAACCATTTCTGACTTTCCATTCAAATCTTTGTCCATCTCCCAGTATTGTTTAAGAACAGAAACAATGTAAATTTCCATGATTTTTAATTCACACGTGTATGAATATATAATACAAATTACAATGTGTATTTATCTAAAGGAAAAGGAAAATAAATTGAAAAGAACAACTAATTTAAAAGAGCATATTTATAATACACAAAGTGTAGGCTCATTTTACAGCATGGATGTTAAAGGATCTATGTCAAGCCCAAATCTTTTGTTACTAACAACAAATTATCGGAAGAGAATTAATTATTGGCATTACATTTCTTGTTGTTATTCTATTCTCATTCATTTGTGCTGTACACTTTTCTCATTTCACTTGGCTAATATAATGAAGTGGAAGTGAACAGTGAACTAGAAGAGAACTTTCTAGTTCTCATTCACTAGCACAAAGTCGTCTGGTACAGAACAATGATAAGAACATATAAATAAACAAATTGTAACTGAAATAAAAAATTCCCCAGAATATTTGCATTCATATTAGGCTTTGCAAAGTTAGGTGACCAGATGTCCTGATTTTATAGGGACAGTCCCGATTTTTGGGTCTTTTTCTTGTATAGGCTCCTATTAACCCCCACCTCCTGTCCCAATTTTTCACACTTGCTGTCTGGTCACCCTATGCAAAGTCCACTTCAAAATAAAATCTAAATCTGGGGCCTAGATCTAGCTGACAGCTTTAAGGGCCAAATCCTTATCCCTCTGTTTGTTCTATTTCTGTGTTCTTATATTGCTTACCACATTCACTGACCATTGAAATCAGGGTGAGAAGAATTTGGCCATTATAAGATACAAATGGCTAAGAGGAGTAAGGGCCTGATTCTGCAAGGTGCAGAGAGTTTCCTGCAGGGCCACCCAGAGGATTCAGGGGGCCCCGGGCAAAGCAATTTCAGGGGCCCCTTCCATAAAAAAATGTTGCAATACTATAGAATACTATATTCTCATGGGGGCCCCTGCGGGTCCCAGGGCGGGGCAAATTGCCCCACTTGCCACCCCCAGGCAGCCCTGGTTTCCTGTGAACTGCTGAATACTCTCATCTCCACTAAAGATCATTGGAAAACAAACTTTTGTGGTGTTTCCAATGGTTTTAACAAGAATGAGAGACCCTTACATCCTCCATTAGACCATATGATAGGCATATTCTACTACCCTGGGGGTGGATCCTCAACTAATATAAACTGATCAAATGCCAATTACTACAGTGCAGCTGTGCTGATTTACACCAGCTGAGGGTTTGGCCCTTGATTTCTAAAATCCTTTCTATCCTATACTCTCTCTGTCTCCAATGATGCGGATTCTAGCTGTCCTAGCTGCTTTCACCATTTCCACTCCCTACGTCGACAAAAGATGGAAGCCTGATTTTCATGGCTGTGTATTTCAGGGAGTACCAGAACCCATGCCAGGTTGACCAAACCACTCCATTGTCATGGCGTCCGGTGTAGTTTCCTGTTTTATAGTATTGTCCATTGAGATTTGCTGCGTGGCATCTTGAGGGATGAAAGGGGGAGGGAGGAAAAGGAGACTCCGTTTAAAGTGAGAAGGCATTGCATCATTACAGCAAAATACAATGTATTTTTATCGATATACATTTGAATTCAATGGGTCTATGCCAGTTTACACCTGATGAGGGCCTGGCTTATAAGGGCTTAATATGAAACAAAAGGCTTAGTCTTGCACACTGTCCACATGCAGAACTATTGACTTCAGTGTGCATTCCCTGCACAGAGGGCCTCTGAGACCAGACTCAGTAACTGCTAACATACCAGTAATACCCACCAATGAACTATAACATAAAAGAAATATAATTATGGCCAACTGTGATAGAAAGCTCAAAAATTAATCACCCCAAACTAGAGAAATGCCCTTAACATAC